AGGCGCAGATTGTCTCCAAATCCCTTGAGATATCAAGAGGCCCGCTCTTTTGCAGTCTGTGAAGGATCATACTAATCTGCTCACCCCTGCGGTCGAAGTTTTGGGCAAAGTGTAGGAATCATTGACTGGTCAGGCGCCGTACCGGATGAGGGTTGGCGGGAGACCCGGGGGGGGATTGATTTTCTACCGGGTGGGGTAGTGGTATACACATACCAGTAAGGTGAATCGGAAAGTGATTTTCGAGGCGAAAACTAGTCTTCTATTGGGAGAATACTAGAGCCAGTAGGCAGCTCTGCCCGGAGTTGCTTAGTAGCCGGAAAATTTAGATCTGGGTGGCAAAATAATATCCGTAATTGGTGTAAATCGTCCCTGAAAAGGAGCTGCTCGTGGCTTAAGGATACCTGTTTTCCGATTCATCTTCCCGGGATATTGTAATAACAGATATAGCTCTCGGAAGGGATAAACCCGGCCCGGGGAAGTATATCTCTGTCCTCTTCTTTCGCGTTTGCTGAATTTAGTTTTTGGAAGCGCATGCAGTTGAGAGGCATGATGGTGATATGCGGGGGCTGGGTTTGGTTTCTTTCAGGAGTTCCGTACTCGCACTTAGGGCAAGTGACGCCGGTATACGGTAGATTACGATTTTGCACTCCCGCCTGATGAATACCCCATCGGAACCTGAAAAATAGACAGACCGAATCGCCAGAACCCCCAAGGACTGTATTGTATTATTCTATCCTGGAGGAAGCTGTTTCCCCCCCCAGTGCTGGGACGGCAAACCCCAAAGAACTGTAAACATACGAGAGCAACCAGAACAACCGGCAGTCAAATCTACCGGTATTGCATTGTACAGCCAGAAAATAGCTCTCACAATTTTTTTGCTAGTTTAATAGTAGCATACTTTCTAGTAAGAGCACCGACAGGATTTGTGCACATCCGTGTCCACCTAACATAACGTGTGGCCAATATTCCCGCCACCCCGATCCTCTGCCTTGATCACCGCGCCCACGTCCTGGAGTCTTAAACCCTAAATATCTTGTCAGTACTGTATATACAAGCCCCACAACCCAGGGCGCATAATAAACCTCCCCAAATCATTCACGAGGGGAGGGTGGAGGAAGGCATAAAAGGAAAAGATAACCCACGGAGGAAGTAAGTAATCAGTCCATGAAGAAGATAGAAAAGCTGCAGCAGCCTAATTCGCACACGCCCCACAGTCGCCATCAGTAACCACGGCGTCAATAGACACATATTCGCGCGCACCGGAACTTACCACGAATACAGCGACACTTCTTACGACGGAGGCGTTTTCAGGGGACTTGATGCCGTGATAGAAAGAAGAGATGAGGCCCCGCTGGGGAGGATTGCCGGCAGGCGCAAGTGAACGTTTTGGCGGCATGTTTCTCGGCTTCTGTTTGAGGGAGGAGGTGGGGGGTATTCTGTCGGGCTGATGGTAGTGAGTGTAGATTATTATCTCCCTTTTTTTTTTCCTTCCTTCTTTAAATGCGGTGTGGGGTTGCAGTGCGGTGCCGTAGATGAAGTGATGCCGGGAGCACGAAAAAATTGATGGGTTTCTAGGGGTTAGGGCTCGACGGGAAGATGGCTCCGGGGATAGCTTGTCAAAATTAGGCTTTTGATAGTATGGTTGTAGTACGGGCGCGCCAACATTACCCGATGAGCGTTTGGGCAGTTTGCCGCGCGCTTCTTGATGTACCCATTTCCCCAAGAACATGTGCTATCATAGAGCACTTGTTAAATCCTTTGATTGTTTTAATCCGTCAGGAAGCCTCAAATTCCCATTAACTATAATACCCTCGGTCCCGGAATGAGATGAAATATTGCCAGGTCAATAAGGCGTGGGTACAAGGGATATGTTTAGCTAGCCAGCACCAAATAACCGTCCTATCATACAACTTTCTTGCTGAACCTTGTACTCGAGTAGTCTACAAAAAGAAACAAAGAGGCTTCCTGACGGCAGTTAAAGTAGTCTTCCCATTCTTTTTATAGTTAACGGGAACCTGAGGCTTATTGACGGCAGTCAAAGCAATCTCCGATTATTATTTTTGTTTAGTGACGTGGGATACTGTATAGAGTTACCCATATGGGCTTTTTTTTTTTGTTAAATTGCCGACTTTGTTCGTGATCCTGGAGCTGCAGGAGGAACCATGGCCAGCGCCCCAATGCATGGTCTACAAAATCCCTCAAATAATGGAAACCTCCACTCCCAATGTAATAAATAAACGGTAAAAACGACATATAATTACATCCTAATTGTAAGCGACTTGTAACTCATGAAGTCAAATTGGTATGTCTCATGAAATAAAAATTAACCGATAACATATAGAAAAGTTTATCCTATCTTTTATAACATAAAGAAAACTCCTTTTATCAGGTTCACCTCCCTCTTATCGCTCTTCTGTAATACTGAAACTGAAGTTGGATTCAGTCTCTTACATTCTACTCCCTTTTTAGCATTGTTCAAAACAGGGAATTTCACTATATATCTTATATTATAGCCTTAGCTACACTTTTAGAATAGTCCTAAGCTGATCTGCATACTTTGTTTGGCCGGTCTATTTATGTATTCAAGTAGCTCTTACTGGCTCTTATCTGATAAATCCAATCAGCCTTGAATTTTTAGATGAATTATGACGTTCCAGCATTTCTGAAAGAGTAACTTATACTCATAGTAGAATGAGTATTTCTATTCCACTGACTTCTTATATATATCTTCTCACGTATCTGTTTTTCAACTTTGAGGTGTACTTCTACATTAACTAGAATAAGTGGAAAAGGTATAGGAGGTTTATTAGTAGTAGTGTCTTAGAGAAAACCTTGATTGTAGTCCTCCTGATATTTTCCAATAGTAATCCGACTTGTGCAGTAGTCATAGAAGTGGAATTCCATATCTTTCACCTCATGCCACCTTTGTTATTATCAAATGCCAGCCTCCTATTAGGGAGCGTGGACTCCTTGCCAGTCGGACAGTACTTGTATTGGAGAGTTAATAACCATATGGTACAAGTACGGGCCGAGCGCCTACCTGATGGGGCGCGACAGTGTAGCGAGAACAGCCACCTCCTGCAGAGGAGATATCGCACTTAACTCAAACAAATTACGCTCGCTCATCAGTACTACTCACTATCATGCCGGCACTTTATCCTATAGGCACCTTATACCCTATCATGCACGGTACAGTAGTCTGTGAGTAATATGACTAAAAAAAATTCTCTCTGAGCACATGGAACCCAGAGAGTGGGAGCCTCGGTGGTCTCAGAAAGGGCCTTCGCAGCCTAGATTCTGTGTGTCTGGGTTCCAGCCGTGCTGGGCTTGCCGGATCATATCGTATGCACCGGAATGAACGGTGCCGTCTCACCTTTGTCACAAAAGAGGGCTGAGCAAATAATGCCATTACGCTAGCGAGTGATTATCTATGCCTCCCTGTCCGCCAAAAAAGAAAAAGAAAAAGAGCAGAGGGTCTTTTGTCTGCATACCGTGCTGGAATGATAGTCTTCGCATTCATTCACTCAATCCCAATATGGGCTCCATAGTCCCACCCGGAGTACCGCAACCCTCCACCAAAGTATGGTTCGGGGCAATGCAAATCAACCCCCCTGCCAACCCCATATCGGTATATGAACAGCTTCAAATTGCTCTGAGGCAACAGCCACAACCCGTGGGCTCAAACCCCTCTGTAAAAGTGTTCATTTCATGATCTCCTAAAGAATTACTGAAGGATTCCAAGAAGTAGTTGCTTGCCGCGGCACTAGCGCGGCTCAAAGTTTGGTGAATTTTGTACGAGTATGAGAGCTGCCAAGTTAAGACGGCCCAGGCTAACTGTATTAAGTAATATAATGTCAACACTACACCTAATACGGTAGTTATCCCGTCGGTCATTGGGCTTATTAAAGCCGATCTAACCTAATTGGGAAGATGATTGCATGATAAATAAGCGGTGGCGAATTAACACAAGTGGTTGCAGTGTCCGGAGCCGTACCGTATTTATTGGCGCAATCCACTATCTCCGGCATCCCTCTAATCTCCGGATTCTGAGTGAAGAACTCTTGGGATGGTTTGGTTGAACGGGTTAACGTAGTTGCGAATACAACACTCCAGGACATGGATCTTATCCCATGTCGGGAAAACTCTAATCCCCCTCAAGAGCTATTGGTCCGAGATTCAGAGCATGCCGGAGATAGTGGATTAGACGAGTAAATACGGTAGATTTGTAGTAATCCATCCCTTTCCTTACTCTCGAATAACCTTAATCTGCGCTCTCACCAGGCCCTGCAGCTTCGGCTAATGCCTTGGCACACTTAATGAGCCTTGATATGCTCACCACATTTAAGCACAAGAGAGGCGCAGACAGCAAATCAAAGTCTCTATATCCGAGTTGTTGAAATTTGTGCAATTCAAGTTTGGTTGATCACGAGAATGATGAGAGTTGTATTTTCTATGACAAGAAGAAGAACAAGCGAGAACAGAACCAGTGGACAAAATCCAATTACGCAATCCAATCCGTGATGTTATCCCCACTAGCACCAAATGCTTTTTGACCACATTGAGCAACTTCTAACACGAGTAGAGTACTGCATCAAGGGGAAGCTTTTGGGTTATGATACCTCTTCGCACCCCTCTCCCCGGGCCGGGCTGGGCTGGCGTCTACGGCATTATGCCGAATGCATGGCCATCACAGGTTGGCCCCCCTTTATCACGAATCAATCTGTAGGAAAAACGAATGAGGGAAAGGATTTTTCACTGAAACTTCAAACTCCTAATTTCCAAAAATCTCCGAGATCAATAGATTCTTGCGGAGGTTGCCTAAGAGAGGGGAGGGGAGAGGGGGGGGAAAAAAAAAGAGGTCTGGCGTGACATCCACGCCTGGTACTATTCAATATTATACCACACCGCGCAGTGGCAGATTTGTGAAAGGGGCTGCAAAGGATGCTGAGGGTGTGGGTGGTTGTACTTGTACGGTGATGCAGGATCCCCAATCCCTGACCCCATCGTGAGTGAGGCCTTTCGGAACGGATGGATGGAGCCTAGGATTCTGCAGCGGTTACTCGTAATGTTATGTGGACCAGATGTGGATGAGTGCTGGCTTTGATTCAACAGATTAATTGGTTCTCATTTATTCCACGGGGGTCTTACCGTATGGTGGTGCTTTCCTGATTATCAATTTGCTGCTGTAAGCTTGGTTCCATATCCTTCACCGAATGCGCCATCTATTCCTCCTTCCCGTGTTCCCCGGATTCAGACTACTGTTTTGCCTTGGAGGTGCGGCACGGCACCTCAGCGGAACTTGGGCACCATTGGTGCGATTACCATAGAAGCTGCCAGAGGATTTTCTTTCCCTCCTCCCCCAACGAGGCGATAGGCGGTGTTAAGGGAATTAAGCCTGTGTATTCACTTCCGGAGTTCCGACCGACGTGGTAAGAAGCGAGTGGAGGAGGGTAAGGCATGGAGGATTCAAATAGACCTGCTCGCCCGCTCGAGAGGTTGAGAGCACTCAGAGATCATCTCGTACTCAGCGGGAAGTACATCAGCAGCAGCGAAAACTACAGGACCGACGAGAAACAGCGAGAAAGCAGTGTGCAAGTCTAGGGAGATGTCTACAGATTACTCTTTCAAGGGATGGGTTGGCAAGAGCAGTGATTGTATCGAGAAGCAGGGTCTTGTCTATACGGATATCGAACCGAAGAAATTCACAGAGGACGATGTGGATATTAGGATCTCTCATTGTGGTATTTGCGGGTAAGCTCATTTCCCTTCTCCACCCTTTCTCCCCCCCTTATGAATGCAACTTGCTGAGACGAGGGCAACAGGAGTGACGTCCACACCTTGACGAATGGCTGGGGCGGCACGCACTACCCCATCACCGTCGGTCACGAGATCGTCGGCACAGCGGTAAAGGTTGGAAAGAACGTCCAGGGAATCAAAGTCGGTGACAGGGTCGGAGTGGGCGCACAGTCGAGCTCCTGCTTGTCGTGCGGAGAGTGTAAAGTTGATAATGAACCCTACGTATTTGCCCTCCCCTCATAAACCCTTCCTCCTCCAGGCAGCTGCTTATAAGGTGGGAACAGTGCGATGGCATGGTAACAACCTACAATGGCACATACCCCGACGGCACCCAGTCCACCGGTGGATACGCAGACTACACTCGTGTTCCTAGTCACTTCGTCTTCAAGATCCCGGATGCACTCCCCAGTGAAGTGGCTGCACCCATGCTCTGCGGCGGAATAACCATGTATTCGCCCCTAAAGCGCCATGGCTGTGGGCCTGGGAAGAGTGTTGGAATTATCGGCATTGGAGGTTTAGGGTATTCTCCCCTCCTCCACGCACACGTTCTCTCATATCATATTATGATACCTCTCGCGTTCCACCACGTCCTAAATACTGACTAGATAAAAAAACAGACACTTCGGTATCCTCTTCGCCAAAGCCCTTGGGGCGGACAGAATCACTGCCATCTCACGCAAATCCAACAAAGCGGCTGACGCCCTCGCTATGGGCGCCGACGCCTACGTCGCGACCGATGACGACCCCAAGTGGGCAAGCAGGCACGCCAACACCCTCGACCTCATCGTGTCTACCGTGAACTCCCCAAAACTCCCCATCGACTCGTATCTTCAGCTCCTCCGCCCCCACGGCACTTTCGTCCAGGTCGGCGCACCAGAGGACAGTGTTCCCGGGTTCAGTGTGTTCCCGCTCATCGTCAAAGGTGTGAGTATCAGCGGAAGCATTATCGGCAGCCCGAAGGACATCGAGGAGATGTTGGAATTGTCGGCACGGAAGGGTGTTAAAAGTTGGGTGAATCCCTGGCCGCTTGAGAAGGTCAATGATGCCTTGCAGGCTTTTGAAAGGGGCGAGCCTCGGTATAGGATTGTGTTGGTTAACGAGAAGCATGTTGGGAAATAGACCACGTATACTGGTCTAGGCATATGATAGGAATTTGCTTTGCAAGATTGATTAGTTTTTGTTTTTTGAATGTTACCGAGATCAAACACGTTTTTCAAGTTGTGCATCACAAATACTCACTCGTCGATTTCGCGATTTGTTCGTGGAGGTGGCAACGTAATTTTCCCCAGTATCTCGTTTTAGATGGCATCGTTTCTTGCCCATTGCTTCACTGGAGCAAAGATCCAACCATTCAGAAAAGTATTTCCTTTCCTTCTTCCGAAAACTCGCTACAAACCACCTACGGTACCAAATACACACTCTCGCCCAACTGATCCTATTTTCCCCACCCACCCTTCCCCCCCCCCTTTCTCACCGGCCCCTCCTTCTCCTGCTCCCCACCGGATGCGCATACATACACACTCTCGCCCAAACGCCCCTTATGATACGAAATCAACCTTCCAGTCATGTATCACACAAATCCCCTCAACCAGGAGCTTCAGAGTTCCGACAATTACCAACAGGGCCGAACCGCATGATAGATCTCCACAACTACGAAATCCCCTGCGCGGAGAAAAGGAAAGGGGAAAAACGAAAAACCCAAAACCTTGCTATTCCAGGCGACCAACCACCCTGAAATGGCTCACTAATCCCACTGTCCCCCCCCCACTCACGCACAGGGCTCTCCACGCTGATACCGGTAGTTTGCATTTTTCCGCTCGAGATATCATATCCTACTCACTCGATGCGTGGTTTATCTCACTATGAATGAATAAGCTGTTCACGCATGCATGTACACCCTTACTAAACCCGCCACAAGGCATGAACTTGACCGCAGCATTCGCTGAAGGTGTCATGATCACAGATTGGAAACTTGCCTTACTTCGGCATCGCCCACCGCAGGGCGCTGTACTGCATGTACTCTCGAGCCGGTGCTCCCCCACAGGTCATCAGCCCGTAAAGTGGGAGCAAGATAGCGCATCTCGGTGATAAACAAGTAGACTACTTTTGTATTCGCAATCTGGTATGACAGAATTACTAGTATGAAACTTTGAACATTACCGCAGAGAATCGCGCCAGACGCCAATGGAAGAGATGCGGGGTGGTGTACAGAAGGGGCTGGTGTGATGAATGGTAAAGAAGGGATGGAGGGTGCAAAAAAAGTTATGACGCCAAGCTTTCCAGTTCTCGCGAGGAAAGGCCTCTGCTCTTGCGAGTTGATTTTCGCTTTTTCTTGACAATGGACTTGGGGGATGGGGTTTGCTTTGGTTGTTTTTCTTTCTAGTGGGGGCGTTAGTGGCTAACTCATTTATTGTTGAGGCAATGGGGTGGGATAGGGCTTACGTTTCGTAAAGATCTCCGCCTGGTAGGCTCTACGGGGTTTAATGCTTCCACAACGAGTAATTGTATGTCGTCCATGTCTTCATCCCTACTATCATTCACACATTCGGTTTCGGCTTCCTTCCCCACAAGTTTATCCTCTGTCTCATTATCTTCCTCCGGCGGAGCAGCGATGTTATCCTTGCGGTTAACAATGTCCGCCAGCGCCCTTTGCCCCCTCTTTCGCTCCTTCGCAGCGGCTTTTGATTCCTTCGCCTTCCCCTTGTCCAAGTTCCTGGCCAGTGTCTTGTTCCACCCGTCCACCAGCTCAATAGCTTTCCTCCACTCCTCCTCCAGAGTCTCGTTCTTCGCCACCAACCTTGCAATCTCAGCATCGCGCTCTGCGAGCTCCTCTAGGGGAACGTAATTCGGCTGGTTAAGTAATTCCTTCAGTGAATAAAGCACACCCTCGAGATCATCGCTAAGCGCATCAAAAGAGGCCGGCGGTGCTATAACCGGATTCTCCACATCCTCCACATCCTCCACATCCTCCTCCGGGGCATGGAGCCCGCCGTTGTCCGGCAGCCCCTGAATCGTTTTGAGCGTAGACAAGGTCTGTCTGATCAACGCGATGAGATTATCATTTTCATCCGCGAGCCCCTGCGACAGGGTTGTTAGAAAGTCCGCAGTATCCGCTCCGAGGGAGTTCCCCGCAGCGGTGGTTGTCGCCCCATCCTCGTCCCCGCCCGATACCGATCCCTTCGGTACTCCGATCACGCTGATGTGCGCCATTGGCGCCCGCCCGCGCCTGCTACTGTCTGTTAACCGCTCCTTCATCTTCTGTATCTGGATGTCACGCTTTCGGATGTCATTTGCGCATTGGGTGCGGACTTGTGCGAGGAGGGTTTTCAGGCGTGCGGCTTCGTGGCGGAGGGCGTTGGCACTGGCTTCCACGGTTCTGAGGGTGGAGTTGAAGGAGCGGGCTTGTGAATCGAGGATTGCGTTCCTGCGCTCCAGTTCGCGGTTTTTCTCTTTTAGTTGCTCCTTTCGAAGGGCGTTAGTCCGAGAGACCCTCAAGCGGCTGGGGGGAGAGTGTTCGTACAATCGTCTCATTCTGCCTTACTTCCGTGGTGCGAAGCGTTCGAATTGTTAATGCTAAATCCTCACGTTGTTCGCCTTCCCTCTACACACCGTCAGCTTATGCCTCGCGCTGGGTTATAGAAAAATTTACATCTCTCCGAGCGATAAGCTCGTGAACAAGGTTGATGATCTTCGCAGGAGTGCCGTCGTCGTCGCCGGGTTTGTGAAAAGGGATTGGGTTCCCCCGGAGTAATCCTCGAGAAGCAAGTTGGTTGTTTACGTATGTCGACGCGGATTTTAGGTCTCTGGGATCCATAGCTCATATAGCTATGTGGGGTTGGGAGAATTAGTACTCTTTTGGTGGTAGTGGTGGTGGTTGAGGTTGGTGTGAAATTTTGGTGGTGGTTGTCAATGTAAACAAAAAGGTCAACATCCCCTGTTATCGGAAGAAACTTGATCACGTAAGCGCAAAGAGTTGAGAACCATCCGGGATCACTCATCCGACGCCCCACGGACCGCAGTCCACCAGAAGGGAATCTGAGTCGAGAAACAGGGTGTCAGGTATCGTGATCCTACTCCGATATTCAATGCCAGTATCCTTCTGGGATCTGGTATTCATTCAATCTAAACAAAGATATTGGGGAAGGGGGAAATCGGGAAACCGGGTTCATAAGTGTATACGGTAGTCCAATCCTTGGTTTACCTCACCCGCAGAGTGGCGACTTCCCCTAGCTCCGGCGGACGATGATGGATTGATCCGCTCGATCATCCAGCTTTTGAGTGGATTCTACTTTTGTTTCACCTTTCTCGCTGGTTTAACTACGAAATGTGCAACCTGCAAACCAACAAGCTCGTCCTCTCAACTCATCGTTCCCTTCGGCTTCCATTCCAGCGCTTGACAAAAGCAACGGGGAACACTTTGTTGGGCGATCTACCCTCTCTAAGAGACCCTCAGCTCAATATACCTGAAAGGGAGGAAAATCATATTAAAGAAATGAAACTGTGGCGCATTTCTAACCTTCCTGCTGTACACCCGGCTTTTTTTTTGCTGTTTACATGATTAAGGGGGATATCTACTAAGAGACAACTTGATGACGGGAGGTAATCGGGGCTGGGAGCAACACCCATCCCCTCGCAGTCATGCCGGAGATCCTGCTGGAGTGGAGCTCGGCCCTGCTTGCCCACCTGTCCTGACTCGGCATGGCTGCCTTTAAATAGTTTCCCAGGTTTTCTCTCCACCAGGTTTCAGCTCGAGAGCCGGTTTGATTGGTGTTTGACCACCTTCTTCTAACTCGGTTGACATCTCCCGGGGTTAAGAGAAGCCTCACTGCCTGCGCCTTCGTTCTCATAAAATAACACATAAGAATAGTGCTTGGCCGGGGAGAAAGCCAGGCCGGTGGGGATTGATGTCGTCCCGTAGCAGGAGGTGCTTCAATCTTATTTATTCCCCTTTCCGGAAGCTAGCGCAGTTGGGGTTTGGTCGCGGTGCCCGTGTCCGTCGGGATTGACATCTTTTTGGATCGAATGAAGCTAACATTAAGCATTGAGAGACATACCATTCCTTTCCCCAAGGCCGCCTACTCGAGTATCTTACCTGATGTAGATCTTGAGAGCTCCTGGATACTCGCAGGGAAACAAGACTACATTATCCGATGCACCTCGGGGACTAGTATCACACCATATTCGAAATCTCTGGCGTGTAAGAGTAGTCAGTCTCCCTCGCTATTGGCCTGGCAGGTTCACATATCTTAATACCGCCTCCGAGGCACTAGGGGAGATACTTACGCTAGCGTTTTATCCCGGGTTTGCGGGAAGTAACTCCTATGTCGGGGGATGATGGTGGAATGTCTTTTTGTCATTGTGGGAGTCTGCAGAGGAACGAGACTGTGCGGTGGTCCTTGGAAGAGTAAGAACGCTTTTGCTGTTTTATAACATATATTCCTGTTTCTCCGTCAGCCCCAAAGTATTGAAAAGGATACAGAAGTTTATGATCAAACCCCCGCAGCCCTTCCCACTCCCTGCCGAGTTCCCAGGTGAATCCCCTTGGTATATTCCTGCGCTATTTACTGGATATGTTAACGTTTTAGACCAACCGCGGGCCACATTAAATTTATTAGGCGTATTGATAGTGAAAGAGTGGACAAAATCACCTGAGATATTATGAAGAGGGTTTGATTTTTTTCGGCCGCTTCAAATGTTGTTATGGAAAGAAGGTTTGGTTGGTTACTAGGGGTGAGGGAAACCAGGCCGGGCCGCCTCTTAACAGTGTGATACAAGCATTGGCCAATTACGGCATCTAATATTCGCGATACCTAGAGAAGGGTGAGGGTGTCTCTGGTTTGATGCTGCGCTGTGCATGAACTTCCGAGCGCAGAAGACTACAGCATGGACTACAATATCCTGTTCTCTCAACAAGTAGAGAAATAGCTCCAGTTGAACCAGCAAGTGATTGTAAGTTCCGCAGTTTGGTGGCCAGGGGATGGGCCCTAGCCTATGCCATACTCGGTCCTCCATAGGTCATGTATAACTAGGGTTCTCTTGTTCTCTTTTCTTATTACTGTATGAGCGGAGAATTGAAACGTTGGAAAACTGGAGTAGATTGCATTCTATCAAATTTCGCGCACAAAAGCAGGCAACAAAAAAAAGCCTACCATATCAAAGCACCGCCTTAGGACTCGGAACAAACCCAGCTCCATCCCCAATCCCAAGAAACTCCCACATGAAATGAAACCTGTCGCTCCCAAAATACCTCGTTTCCTCCCCCTTTGCGTTCCTAACGACTGACCACGGCGCCCCAAAGGCCCCATTCTTAACTGCTTCATTGGTATTCTCCGTCAGGGCGTTCTTGTACTCCTCCTCCTCAGTTGCTTCAATGATATTCTTTAGCTCTCCCTCTTTAAATAATCCACTCCACGTCTCCCTGAGCTGCGACTCCTGTGAGATATCTTTGTCTTGTTCCCAAAGCGACACCCATAGAAGGCGGAATGCCTCTAGGTAGGTTTCCTCTGGGAAGTGAGATTTTATGTAGATTAGTCCTCGTTGCGGCTAGATAAACTACCCATCAGCCCTTATTCACCACGCCCCCCATGAAGAGGTGAGTATACCTTAATCGTGGGGATCGGAAACACACTCGGCCTCTTCAGCGCAGGAAGCCCGAAGTATCTCTTCGCATTATGCACGTCGATTGCCGAGTACGCGGCTTTTGCGGGGAGCTTCCACGGAGGTTGGTTCCCGGTCGCAACGTTCACGGCCCCGAGAAAGATAGGAACAAAGTCTACTTTGACGCCGTGGGAGTCCAGGGCTGCGCGGTGCTTGTTTAGGAAAGTGAAGGCGTAGTAGGAGTATGGGGATACTTGATGATTTATTAGCTATATATGGCCATATCATGGTATGGTGCACCATTCATGCTCCAAGGGAGGAGGGCACGGGGAGGTAACATACCGCAATCGAGGTAGGTCGTAATTCTAGCGGTGGAAGTCATTGTTGCGATATTGCGATGGAGTTTCTTTATCGATCAACCTTCCAGAGCGGAGGGAATGGCTCAGTTATATATTGTCTCTATTGCATCATACAGTGCAAGCCCTGGCATTGTTCGTGATACGGTAGCACCACTGGGATTACCATGTGTACTGTGCACAATACCCGAGGACATCAAGTCTACTCGTAGCTGCCTCGGTCGGCTCAACATCGCTGTGCAACGTTGTGGTGCATAGCAGTCGCACCCCGCTATAAGGGATCTACAGTATGTATAAGGTTATCTTTTCTTTTTTCTCGCCTCAACTCCTCAACCACTCGTACCGTGCGTGATACGGTAGGCGAATACGAATTTAAAATATGCCTGGAAATAATTCTCACAAAGTCGCCCTTGTAATCGGTGCGTCCAGGGGCATCGGACGTCAAGTCGCAATTGATCTTGCTCGCGCTGGTTACATTGGTTTGGCACCCTTGCATGTGCAGCTATTATAGCTATCGCAGGGTGGAAGGTATCCTCCATTGGAGGGCTATGCTAACGGCGCGATAGTTGTCCTCGCCGCGAAGAGCACAACGGATGGACCGAAGCCGTACACATTCCCACCCGATCCCAACTCTTCCCAGGCGATTCTCCCTCTCCCCTAGCTCCCCTTTTCGTCAGCCATTAACCAGCGGAGGTAGTCAACGATAACCACCGTCGCCCGCGAAATATCCGAGTCGGGGGGCACCGCCCTTGCGATCCCGGTTGACGTCCGCTTCGAAGCAAGCATTAACTCCCTAATCCAAGCTACCCTCTCCAAGTTCTCCAAGATTGATCTCATAATCTACAACTCTGGCGCCATCTACTGGTCGGCCCTTGACACCACCCCCACATCCCGCTTCCGGCTTTTGCAGCGGGTTAACCCCGAAGGGTTGTACATCACTCTGCAGGCCATCATCCCGACCTTTAAAAAGCAAGGGGTCGGAAGAATTGTGGTTGTTTGTCCCCCGATATATTCGAGATTTTTCCGTGGGAAGACGGCGTATGCTGTTGGGAAGGTGGGGATGAGTGTTATGGTTAAGGGATTGGCGATGGATTGGGAGAGGCAGGGAGAGAAGGGGCTGGGGATTTGTGGGATTTGGCCAGCGGTGGTAGGTCATATATCTTTTCCACTGGATTCGGAAACTGTGAGGTTTATTTTTTATAGGCCATCCAGTCCGGTGCCACAGGGAGGATAGACCCGAAGCATCTCCGGAACGCCGTAAGCTACATCCTCCCCCGTTTACACGCTAGGTATGATATGAATGACTTACCCAGTTGACAGAGCATCTTCAGCGACGCTATCATAGCGATGATCAACGCTCCAGTGAAGACTATCAACGGGCTTCTAGATACAGATGAGGACTTTCTTAGGAAGCATGAGGGAGTCACAGACTTCTCGAAGTACTCTCTGGTCCCCGGGACCGTTCCCCGTAGAATGATGCCGGCGGGGTTCCCGGACTTGACTGTTGCCGAGCAGGATGATGAGGGGGACCGGATCGATAGTGCAAAGGAGAGGGCTGCAAAGCTTTAATCAGGCCTGTAATGATTAGGTGTGATTTCATTCATTCCTCACGGGTTCAAAGGGTTTCCAATAGCACCCCCTCAATGAAGGATCATGGATTTTGGGGGGTTTCTAGTAAAATTGGGCTGCAAATAGCCTGCCTACCTTAGTCAAATAATGAGCGCTCTTCGTGGGCCGTTCCCAGTGAATGCCTCTTTTCATTGGATGAGCAATGGTCCCTCTAGAAACGCCTGGGAACTAAGTTGCGCGCTACCAATCTTTAGATGTCTGGATAGTCCTACAACGCACTCACTGGATATCACTCGCCCCATCCTGCGCGTGCAAACTCTAAGCAACCTATATCTACCTCCGGCGTGCAGTGTGCCCGAGATCCGAGTGCGGCTCCTCAATCTTCGGCTAGATTGTCTCTCCGCCCGGAAATCGAAACGCAGCGGCCGGGGAAACCTCAGCCCGGCTCTGATCCACGATTGCTCGTTCTCTCCATCAAATGCGGTCTTGGCAAGGTAGTGCAAACACGATACCTGTATATTTATTTTATTTTATGTCCATTTTGTTTTTTTCGCGAGGGCTCGTATTGCCGGTAGGGGCCGGCAGGGCTTCAACATATCATACGAGCAGTGTCTCGGTCGGTAGCGTTGGGTCGGGTGAATTTATCTCCGCCTTTTTCTCAATCGGCTCGATTGGCGAATCCCGGTATAACCGGTATTACATAACCAGAAGGGCTACCGCATTTTGCCGGAGAGTTTGCTAGATTCGCATTTCTGTAGTCTACTTGTACTAATTTAGCATCCGCGATCTCCCTTGTTGGATGCGGGACTAAATTAAGTTGGAGAACCATATCTACCGGCATCGATACCGGGATGATCTACTATCGGATACCGGTAAGGGCTTATGGCTGAGCAAGTTAACAAAATCACGGAACGGAGATAGCAGTGCATTCTCCGAGTGGATCCAGTTTCCGTATCTGTAGGCCAGCCTTGAAAAATTTCGAGCAGTCGTGTCATGTCGGTATTTGGGATAGAGGTTAACAACGAGCAAGTTTTTTTTTTCCTTTCTTTTTTGTCGATAACCGAAATCCTACAGATGGGCTGGCTTGAACCTAAATTTAATAGAGCACCGAACCCGTAAAAACTCGTATTACCCACTATCTCCGGCAGCCCTTTTATCTCCAGATTCTGAGTCAAACCCTCTTGAGATGGTTTGGCTTTATGGGTTAACAGGATTGCGTATACCGGTTAACAAGATCCAAGAAGTCTTGGAGGCTGATCTTTACTGTGTTGGGAAAACACTAATCCTTCTTAGAACTTTTGACTCAGAAGCCGGAGATTGGGGACCTGCCGGAGATAGTGGATAACACGAGTTTTTATGGTATTAACCGTTTGACTGTACCCATGTCACCTCTATGGCTACCGAGGGATACCGGTACATACGGACAGCGCTGAAGCAGTGACTCAAACTCCCCGCAGTCATCCATATATTCCTCAGAGACTGGTGGGGGGCTGCACGGAAGTCATATCTTGCCGGTCTAGGAGATTGTAACGGCCTTGTGGCGTTCCGGTTTCCGCTATGTGAAGTGCCACATTAACTCGAAAAATTGAGTACGGTTTCCCCGGACAGGGATGCAATCTCCAGAGGTGCTGGCTGGCCTGTGCCTGAATGATTGGCAATGAATGGGACCTTGGTATGGGTCCCGTATCAAGTTCCCAGCTTGCCAGAAAGCAAGACGAAGGAAACAACCCACCACGTTACAAGCTTGGAAGTCAGCAAAGTTGAAGTCTAAACCAAATGTGAAAATAGTTGTTAAGAGAGTTCCAAAAGAACCTGATCTGTGGCCAATCCAGAGACATGAGACTTTCTGAAGCCATACACAGCAAGTACATATTCTAAAGCTCTTATATCACTATTGAATATTTAAAGAAAATATTGAATACTAGAAACTGATACAGCAAGAAGTCTTGGATTTGTTTTGATTCTCAGTTCAATATTGGCTCAAGTATTTAAGAGATGGAGATTATATACTAGTTTGAGCTAAAGTTATAACTTCCTAAGTTATTTCAGAAGAGGGAGAAACAAGTGACAAACTAGTTACAGAAGTTGGTCTCATGTGAATATAATATTTCTATTTTATAAGTTATATCTGAATACTATGACTAGTAAAGAATATACTAGTAAGTAAAACTTTAGATAAAAGACAGGCTTACCTAGTACTTTATGTCTTTATAAAATAGTATATCTTGTATCTTATCTATAACAATATTTCACAAAAATATAAAAAACTTTAAGTTGGTTTATAAGTTTTATTATTATGACTGTCATACTATAAGTGTGGTTTTATTAGAATCAGCATATGGGTATTTTTGGTTGTCACTGGGGAAACAAGTTCAAAGTATCACAACCAAAGACAAATTTTCATTATTTTTATATGTAAAAGATGCTACAGAGGTCATTGGAGCTTCTGGAATATTTTCTGGGCTATTAGGAGTATGCTCTAAAGGTCTATCTAGGTGGCTATACCAAAATAAATTTTTGGAGGTTGAGTGCCCATATGCTGATTCTAATAAAACCACACTTATATTATAACTTAATGAATATACTTGTTAAATATAATAAAAAAACTTACTATATAAGCAAAGATCTATTTTTATACTATCTTGCTATCTACCTTATTATGACTCTTTAAAGTTACCTTATTCTTTTTATATTAGGCCTGATAGATTCTTAGAAAACTCCTACTAGTACTATTCTTCAAGTTGATTTTCATTACTATTATCAGAATATTTTATCTCTAATTTCTATACAACATTGTTAAGAATCCTACCGGTGGTAGGGGTGCGTGTCACAAACTGTGACTAAGCAAGGCAGATTTTACATAGCTCGAATTTCCAAGTTATAGGTATGTGGGAATTTCACATGACGCACACTAGTGCGCCATAGGTTATTATATCTACCTGTTGGTGACTCACACTAGTGAGTCACACGATGTTATGATTTTCGCACATGACTCAAGTTATGAGTCATGGGTTTCACTCAGGTGACGTGAGTTGCGCACCTGAAATAGTTATTAAGGTTTTGATTAGGTTTAGGCATGTTGCGCAGCGACTTATAAGAGTCGGCTGATGGATTTCGTGTGACTCATAGTTATGAGTCACAAGGGTCGCGTGACACATAAGTATGAGTCACGCCAGGTGAAGAGCTACTATATAAAGGGTCACTAGGACCCCTAGTATTAGCTCTTCACACGTTCTTCTTGTTTATTTCCTACCTTTAAGTTATTATCAATACAAACCTACTTTTACGCTCTTTAAGATTTATTCTTAAGAAACTCAAGAATTGTTTTTCCTCTCAAGCGAGAAAACTATTTCTCCTCCCACGTCGAACAACTAAGTCCTAATCGAGGACTACGAGGATTAAAGAGATAGGCGCAAATAAGATAGTAGTCATAGGACTGGACTATCGAGATCGCGTAGGCCCAGGCCTGGGAACTATCTACTTACATCAAGAGAAGTATCGTTACCTGTCGCTCGGTCCTACTCGGTAGGATTCTTAACAGTGCGACAGGTAACAATTCTTACTTAGGTAAGGGGATAGTTCTTAGGCCTTTGCCTACACGATATAGATAGCTAAGTCCCTTGACTTCTATCTTGTCACACCTATTTCTTAATCTTCTTGAGTCCTCAATTAGGACTTACTCTTCCTTGTTGTAGGAGGAAAGACAATTCTTGGGTTTCTTAAGATAAATCTTAAAGAGTGTAAAAGTAGATTTTATTATAAAAACTTAAAGGTAGGAAATAAATGAGAAGAACATGTGAAGAGCTTATACTCGGAGTCCTAGTGACTATTTAGATAGTTGCTCTTCACCTGGTATGACTCATACGTCACATCATGCAAACCCTGTGACTCATAACTATGAGTCATACGAAATCCATCAGCTAACTCCTATGAGTCACTATGCAACATACCCAAAACCAATCAAAACATAATAACCAAGTCAGGTATGCAACTAACGTCACCCAAGTAAAACCCATGACTTATAATTTGAGTCATGTGCGAAAATTATAATAATATTATTGTGTAACTCACAACTGTGAGTCACAAACAGGTAAACATAATAACCTATGGTGCACTAGTATGCGTCATGTGAAATCCCAACATACCTATAGCTCAGAATCCCAAGCTATGTGAAATCTGCCTTGCTTAGTTACAGTTTGTGACAAACATCTTTTTTATTTTGTCTCTTAATATATCAACCAGCAAGCCTTTTAAAAACATAATACCTAGTGTTACTAATTAGAAAGTTTTTTAATATAAGAAAGTAACCAAATAAAATAATTGTTTATTTAATAGTACTATATTCTTGCAACCTATCCTGTTGGTAATACTTTTTATTAGTTCTATACTGAAAATTATTAAATTATTTCACAGTCATCAAGATACTAAAATATTATACCATTACTTCCAATAGGTGGTGGTTTAGACTATGATTTGGATATTAAGAGGATTGGAGGATTGCAAAGAGGTAATTAGAGAAGAGTTCAAATAAAGATCCACATACTAATATTCTAGCTAGAGAAGACAATACCGAAGAAATTAAGTTTCAGGCCATTGAAGAAAAGATATACTTTTGTGGAGATTATTCACTTCGTGCTTTTCCAGTTCCCCCCCCCTTTTTTTCTTTGCATTAATCATCATACAAATTGGATACTTTTCTCACTTTACAATACCTGAATATTGACATTTAGTAGAGGTTCAGTGATCATTGTGGATCGCTCAGACATAGGCCAGCCAAGAACTTATCTGGAGATTAAATCCCTGTCGGGAGATGCTCAATTTTTCGAGTTAATGCGGTACTTGTATATCCAATCTAGAAAAACATTTCCCCTGGGTACAGTGCCAGAGATCTCGACAGTTGGGAATATTTAGTGCTGCGCCGGATGCTCTAGCCGTAGTGCAAAACGTTGATGAGGGTTCTGTGGTCAGCAAATTGTTTCAGGATGGTTAACTCTCTAGAAAAGTGGATTTGGAACTTGCAGTATCGTTTCCACAAGCCATGTATCTCACTCGTATCATAGTTGTTTCCTTGATCACTACACTAGATGCTATCGTCCATCACATTTCTTTATCACTGTTTAACAAAAGAATCTTCACTCTTTCTATTCCCCTTCGCGCACCGGGCAACAATCCTCAGCTGTCGCCATTCGGGACTGTGTTCATACTGTGGAAAAGCGAGCAGGTTCTAGCCACTAACGGGGTGGCTAAGCGTATTAGCACACCGGGGGGTGGGGGGGCCTCCAGGGTCCTGGTACTCTGCTCTAGTATCCCTTGCTGGTCCACTTGGACTAAGACGGTCAATGATCAACCACCGTGAATATTTTCTGGACGACATCAATGACCGGTGGTTTACTGATATCATAAAGTGAATTATTTGAAAGATAGAGTATTGGCCTTGAAGTTGAATTGGTGAGTGGGTGTATCAACCTCCCGTGAGCCCCCGGCCATGTAATCACACATCCGAGGAGCCTTTCTTCAACATCGATGCATTGTGGCGCGAAAGAGTTCTAGTGAGCCCAGGTTGTGAGATCACATGGAACAGGGGTTTTTGCCATATCGACTATTAGGAGTTCACTGAAAGGCATTTTTTTCTTCCCATATACTTAGGCTGCGATCGTTGGTGTATAGACCTAGAGATATAATACAAACGGATAAACTTCTTGAAGCAAGTGCAAGAGTCCGTGTTTCTAATCCGTGGATCTCAGGTTGCTCCATAATAATATGGATCAATCATTGCGCGACTGGAACTCATAGGATTTCTCCTAACTCTATTCCATAGAAATCAGGCATCTCATATCAGAGGGCAAGGACCTCTCACTGCCGTATCATTTGTACAGTTCCCTTAACCCAGCAGTTGAAGCATTCCTGCGAAAGAAAAAGAAAAATACTATAGGGCAAAAGTTTCCCCTCATAAATGCCTGAGGTTCTACTTATTTATATAGCCCAAGGACACTTGACATCCTACCCTCCTTCTCACCACTCATATACAGGGAACGCCACATTTCATCATATCATCACCATCAAGCATCCACCTTACCCAGAAATTTACATTAGCCAAAATGCATTTCTTGTGTCCAATCTTCATCATCGCTTTTTTCTTTACACTTTCGTCTTCTGCCCAAAACACTAGCGCGGTTCCGACAGGACCTGACCTCAAAGAACTCCCCAGTTGCGCTGTAAGCCCCCCCCCCCCTTCGAATCCCCATACACTCCTATCCTCACAAACACCCTCCGAAACAGGTCGCCTGCTCGGTAAACGCCTTCGCCTCCATGTCTGGCTGCCAACCCGACGACTACCCATGTATGTGCCGCAATCAAAATTTCGTCAATACCATCGGCACCTGCATGGGGAAGAGTTGCAGTGGTGAAGATTTGAAAAGTTGCGCCTCCTCCCCCCTTCTCCCTTCCGCCTCTCTTTCCCTTTCTCTCCGTTTCATGCAATAGCGGGTGCTAACCAGATTCAAAAACACACAGAAGCAACCGCTTTTGCAAAGAGTATGTGTGGATCCGCGGTTCCTACTGAGGTCTCTGGGGACGGTGTCGGAGGATCTGCTAATGCCACTGCTACTATTTCAACCACTGCCACATCTGGTACTGCCACTACTACCGCTGCCAAGGCTACCACGACTACAGGAGCGCCGAACTCGGCTGCTGGGATTAGGCCGGATGGATTTGCGCTTGGGGCTGGGTTGCTCGCTTTTCTAGCTTTGTGAGGGGGCCTTCGGGGATTAGAGGGGTTTGTTATTACTACAATCATGGGTATATAATGTCAGCATAGGCCCTGACTAAAGGCACTGGGGGCATATCAAAAGCTTCTCCCCTTAAAAAAAACCCGGTTTCTCCTAAAAAGTGGAAATGCCGATCACAGATAATCCTCCAGCATTGAGTGATTTGCACAAGCGGTCACTCACACCCAGTGATAACCCACCCAGCCCTTCAATCACCAGGCGAGAAAACCCCGTTCCGAAGCAATACCTCCCCATAACTATTATCAATGGAAGAGGCTCTTCCCAGTCCATGCTCCGAACTTTTTCTAAACAAAAAGCTGAGAGGAAAAAAAGAAAATTCCGTAAAGTCTATCCCTCCAAGAGCGAAAGTGCCAACCCGAGACTCCGGAATCCTCTTTTGTAGGTGTGAGTGTGAAAGTCCCCGGGCGTTCCAGGGGGTACAATGTCCCGGAGCGCTCGCACCGCACATATCATAATTATATCGGTGCTACGATAGTATTGTTGGGGTTGTGTATGTTGTAGCTACCAGTGCTTCTAGTAATCCATTACATACCGTAAAATCCCGTGACATCCCCTGCCTTCAGGTGGACCCGTGTGGTTGCGGGGGCGACGAGGGTTAAGTGGGTATTGTGAAAGTACTGTGAGGAGTGTTTTGCACGGCAAAGAAGATTGTGTGATAGAGAACGATGAATGCTTAATTGTCTAGAAAGGAAGAGCGAGCAGCTCTTACTATCTACTATTGTGAGCGAGACAATAAGGTTGAGCGAGCAGTAACAAGAAATGTAAGGAGGTATCTTCAATAGTACTGGAGGCCTAGATGTGTGCCTGGGGTACGAACTGATGCAAGGAGAAAAGTAATAGTCTGAACGATGCCACAATATCCGTTACTAGTAGTGTCAGAAGCCATGTTTCAACAGTGAGATCCAATAGCACAGCGAGTGATAGTTTATGATTAGGAGGCAATCCCTTAGGGGAGTCAACCTAGAGACTTTTCGAGCTATCGTGAGCTAGCTTTGACTGCTATCTAGCGATGGCGGGCAGGTTTGTTTTATTCTTAATGTCACCATTCTAAATCCTCTGCAAATAATTATTATAAGTTCATACTTCATAATAAGCCAAAAATACTCAGAGCGGACCGAACCCGACTAATCAAACAAATACAGATATATTCTAAATATATCAAGGATGCGAAGGTTAGCGTGATAGGAATGGGGGTATCGGCAATGGTTCCGCGAATTAACCCCCCACCTTCGTTCCCTTTCCAATACCTAATATTACCAACTTTAAGCAAATATGTCTGCTGTCCAAATTGGAGAAGAAGTGAGAACAGGACGAGGATCAAAGCCAACGGCCGGTTGTTGAATGAGTGCTTTCTCCGATGGGATTTAAACCCTATTGGGTTTCTAGGACGTTCAGATAGCCTGAACCGGCTGGTCTGAGTATGCCTGATGCATTGACTGGTTCAAAGCGAAGTGTCAGCTCTTTATAATATTTCTCAGAGGGCAATCGGTGATTTAGTGAAAAGGGAGAGGGAATTGAGAGAGGGGGTTTGTGTAAACTTACTTGAAAGAGCTTGAAATCTTGGAGTAGTAAGCCACTACTGGTTATTCCAGCTTGAGAATAGACTTTATAAAGACTTTCTAGGATGATGAGAGAAAAATGGGAGAATTGTGTGGAAGGGGTGGTTTCCAGTATAATACCAACAGGATCCATGTTTCGAAAACTATACCTGCGCGTGAATCGGGAACTTTTCCTCTTTGATACTAGATGTTTTCACAGGTGTCTGGGTATCATAGCTATGGGATATGTCTCCTGGGTATTACCAAAAAATTCATAAAGGGTTCTTGGTGGCGTACCCAATATGATACTTATAACGAGCAGAAACCACCGAGCAGCTATACAGTGTGTAATACCATTCCGCATATTCTTAATATCACACACTCTCCCTTTCTATAATTACCATTTTTTCCAGAGTATCATAATCCAGGGCACGATTTTGAATCAGTGTTCCCAACATCCCGACGAGGGGGGGGTGAGACCGAGTGGTCTCTTATAGCCCGCACATCGTGGGTCGTGATATCTAGTATGTATATCTAGAAAATGCAACCCATAGGAAAAATCCGCGGATAGTTTTTCTCAAGTGGCAGATGATTCAAGTGATGCGTACTTTGGGATGGGTGTTAACCTCTAACATAGTTATTAGCTCCACTCCATTGACTATCCAAAAAGGGCACCGGGCCAATGGTGAGACGGCTCCGCCGGGGTTCTCGATATCATACATGACTCGCAACGAAACCGCTGCCTCTCATATTTCCTCCCCCTCCACCCTCCGCAGGTGTCCGCTCCATTCCATCAGCACAAACGCTAGAGTCGGGCCTAACGGTCCTGCACTTCCTTCCTTCCGCAAGCCAACGGAGTAGAACGTCATGACCTAGCCATCCAACCCCCATTTCGGCATCAACCGTTCACTATTGCGCATTCTAGAGTGTGTGGACAAGATGTCCCCCTGCAATCGAAAAGCATCACTCGTACACAGCGAGATATCTCTCCATTGCGTTCGAATTGGGTACCTCATCACCCTCCTCCTCTTCAATCTCACCGAAGGGTCCGAGAAGGTAGTCAGACAAGTGTGAGCAAACTTGTGAGTAAATGATTTCTCAAAGTGCAATCTAAAATTGATATATTTGGAATTGGGGGGGGGGGGTAGAGGAGGGAGTTGCAGATGGACCATTTGGCAAAACCATCGATTCAAAACACATTTTTCCGATTTTATCAAAACGTATTTTGCAAAAGGTGTTTTGAATTCACTATTGGCTTGAGCCGAACAGAGCCTATATCTATTTCCATAGCTAAAATCGACCAAAAAACCCCAGTAACCCCCCCCCCCCCAAGACCACCCAAGCCTTTCTTCACCCCTCAATTCTTGAAGATGGATATCATAAACTTTCCAGTCGGCCTTGTCCGGCGGACCACACCCACCCACCCCGCCAAACCGGGAACCGAGCGCTGTGGCAGGATATAACAGAATAGAATACGCAATTCATGCATTCCGTGAACGTGCTGCTCCCCTCGACTGAGCGAGCGAGCGAGCGAGTAATAGAATACTTATACTGTCGGGTGAGGACTCCCCCTTTCCCAAAATGGAAGGGAGAGTCCATACTATCTTGCCAAGTGACTCTTTTTTTTTTAAATTAAAAAAAAAAAAAAAAGGAACACAGGAGAGATAGCGGAGGGAACAATAACCCCCCGGCGAGAGACCGCAGTGCCTCGGTGCCTACAGGCGCGAGCCCGGTGACTGCCTCCTCCTTCGGCCTCCATCAGGACATCGTTGAGTATCCCCAGACGTCTCCCATCCACGCTCACCTTTTGGGCTCGCGAGTGATAATCCATGACTAGTGATTCCCCCCCTAGCAAGAGACCCGACAAAGCCCCAGAGGAGAGACAGGGGTCGCTGTAACACCTTTATATGGTGCAGAAACCGATAAGTGTGAACCTCATTCGGGGATGTGTTCAAGGGGGTATAACTAACCTCATACCAGTTCAAATCATGTAAAAAAACCATACCAATGCAGGGAAAGAAGAGCTGAATAAAAGTACAGCTTTTTGAATTAGTAGAGGCAACTGAATAGGATGGTATACTCATTTTAAACACTGAAGATTTGGTGTAAGATTGAGGTCTTGGCATTGGAATACAACCTGAAAAAGCTGACTAAGTATACAATATAGTGATCAATAGAGTTGTCAAAAACTAACAAACACATACTGGCATGTCAAAGATATTCTAAATGATGTGAGCATATTGTAAAGGCATTGCTTGTGCATTATTAGACCTCAAGGAGAAAGTTTTGAAAATATATCAGAGCCATGAGAGTGTGAAACTCTCAAGCTATTATATTTAATGTGCTTTAATATCTTTCACCCTTACTATATATTATTTACCTCAGTTTACAATCCGTCACTCACAGCCTTGGCAATTATGTTGCACAGCCACAGTTGTATTTTCGCTATGCCACATGGTTCACGTTCTTCAATTGTTGCACCATAAAACCTTTGTTTTGGGAGGAGGGCAGAGGGAGGGGGAGATGATCAGTTGAACAAAACATCTTATACCGCATTGATGGAGTCCACAGTCGCCCCCGGGAGCATGCCCAGGAATCAATAACGTGTCTGCAGCAGGGTACAAGGTTCTCTATCCGGACTGCGGGGAATGTAAAGAAAGGTTAACCCAAAGAATGCATGGCGGTACATTAAAGCTATATATGCACTATTCTCCCATCCACCCTAAGATTGTGCCAGTCTTCACACAAGTAACAAACAAAAGGAGGAATAAAGGAGTACTTGTGATGGTGCTTATTTCGGGTGAGGCGGCAATGCAAGCACAAGAAACCATCATAACTAGATTCAAAGCTCTGAAGGAATCTACCCTGGAGCGCCCAAGAGCAAACCGGGTGGAAAACATCGCCGCTGCTCTCGACAGCTATCTCAAGATCCCGCATCCGCAGTCACCCGTATCTCACTCCCACCCAAAAGCTCGTCAGGGCCCACGAGACAAAAGAAATTATTACCCAGTATGATACCTCATCTAATGGCGGCATTACTCCCCACCCACTCATCTGGTAATCCCCTCCACCAGCCCCCTGCACAACTCCACCCCGAACTCAAGAATGCACATCATCCGGCAACGCACCATAATACGCCCCCTCCTGCTCATATCTCCTCCTTGGCCCATCCACAGGACCAATATCCTCCGCAATCGTATCCTCATACGTCGGTGGCGGAATATCATCTTCTGGAGCTATACTGATAACACTGCCGGGCCTCGGACCTGGCCATGCGCCCCCACCGCCATTTCCCCCTCCCCAACCACCACCCCCACCCGAGCTAGAATGCGGCCGCGGAGGAAATGAGGGAGATACAGGTGAGGATACCGGCGAGTGGTTCGTAGAATTGTAGCCGCCGAAGGCTGCTGTTGGGACCTTAAGGGATTGGGTTGTTGGTGTTCTAGGGGGTAACGGCGGGACGTATTCCTTTGTGGGTAAAGGGGGGAACCGCGGGGCTATCGGATGGCGGGCGGTTTCGAGGAGTCTTTGGGGTGGTTTGATACCAGAGTAGACGTCGATTGGGAGGGTCAGGGGTACCATCTATATCTCATTAGCAGCCACCGGATAGGGAGTTTGTCGGGGGGAAGGTACTTCTATCGGCCCGACGTACCCGTGCGATAGCCCAAGGACAATCTCCAACTGGTAAGTCCTCCAGATATTACAAGTTCTGAAACTTGGGGGAACGCTATCGGGCAGTGCAGCGTTCGCCCAAAGCTTAGAGTCAGCCTCAATCTCCTGTCCGATAGCTTGGGAGTCATATTCGAGAGGGCTTTGCAGGCCTGTCAGACTCAGGCAAGTGATTATCCGTTTGTCCATTTTCTTAAGATCATGTGCTGTAATCTCTGTGAAAGCGAGCAGGTGAATCTGCAAGCTTCGAATAAACACCGGCGTTGTGTAGGGCTCTAGCTTGACCAGTATCACTCTCAACGGTAGCTGTGCGTTGGGGACTATAATCGGAGGTGATGGAAGTCTGGCTTCGATGGAGAAATGGACCGTCCTAGGTGCAGTGTTGATCGCTGGCGCCTGCTGGCGGAAAGCGCCAAAGAGACTACGCTTCCTGGTAACTGGAGAGGCATTGTAAATGAACTGATGCTGGCGCTTCGCATAGGTCTCGTTTGTAGTCGGTGGGGGTCGTGGAGGTTCAATCGGTAGAAAGACGAAGGGGTCAAACTAGGCCCATCAGCACCCCACTTTCTCCATCCGTGAAAACGGCCGGTACAAACTCACTGCACGTAGATTAATCCTATAGAATTTCGGTCTATGTCACCTTCTCATCAGCCCTCCACTCTTCGCTGCAAACCAACATGCCGTAAATTGGTCCACCGTACCTACCTAATGACAGTAGCCTTCAAAAAATACCTAACCCAAGCCTCGTCATTCGGAATCCCACTCAAACTCGGGGGTAAAGTCCCAGGACGATGCTGTCGACCATCCCTCGCATAGTCCATAGTCCCCTTGTCAAAGCTGAGCCGCTGCAAAAGATTCCCACCGGCACCCGGCCCTTCCGTGCACTGACTATTAACCGCTATGCGAAGGCTGAACGGATATTCGTACTGTCCGGGCTTGAGTGTGTATCCTGGGTTTGTGGCGGATGTGTTCTCTCTGATTTCGGGCGACGGAAAGACCGTCTGGACGAGGTATAGGAGCTATTTAGATGTCATGCCATAACTCGATCAGCGTCGCTTACAGGCGGGGGAGGAGAGCGAGGGGGAGGGATATTGAATGACACACCCTGTGGATTTCAACCTCCGCACGCTTCGAGTCCCGGCCTTCGTCATTCCTAGGCGGGATTAAGCGGGTTCTGGATATTCCCTCCATCTTGACGGTGATTGCGGAAATGGTCTCATCATTGACAGTGTTCATTACCACCTTCCGACGTCGTCATTGTCAGCCTCGCCCGTTGACGATACCGGGAGCTAGAACGGGGAAAAGAAGGACGACAGCCATACCTTGCCGGTAACATAGTCCAAGCAGGTAAGCACACTCCCCCGGCTATCAAGCTCTATCCTAACAGACATCTTAACCTAATGCAAAACGAACCGAGTAACCCCAACCAACCGACCGACCTTTCCAACCCAATCCCCAGATCGGACCCTGGGAATCCGGGATCGGGAGGGAGAGGGAAAGGGAAAGGAAAGGAAATAAAAAATAAAAAATAAAAAAATAAAAAATAAAATAAAAAAAGAGTTCCAAGACTGGGCCAGCAGGATCTCAGAGTTTCACCACAAGGAGCAAGTCGTTGGACCAAATCCCGTCAGCCTTTCAAAAGGATTAGAGAATTAGAAAGAGAGAACGGCGGAGATTAGATAGCCCGATTTCGTCAGCCTAGTTTTTATAGAAACCCCGTTCCAGGGAAAGGAAAGGCAGGAAAGGCTTGGGGCTTTATCGGGAAGCACCTTTACAGGCCTTACTCATCGGGCCTTGGGTATTGCAGTGGCAGGGGGAGGGGGTGGGACTCAGGAAGGAGGCGGGGGGGGGGGTGGGAAGAAGGTTTCTTGGTGCCCACGGGCATACTCAAGTGGCAGTCCCCTGTGGCGCAGCGGGGATGAAGCGGCTCGTCAAGCCTCGCGTATTCCTGTCCCCCCGAGCACGGTATGACGATAGCGAGGCTCAAGCCAACCCATCAAGTTTGCGAGATACCGTCAGTCGCGGGAGCAGATGGGCCAGGAGAAATAATATTACCAAGAAGGCCATAAGTTACTCGAGCGTAATAGAAACTTCTTCAAGTCACTCTAGCGATAGAAAGCCAAGGAAGACTATTTATCCGGTAGGAACGCTTCCTATTCATGCATTACCCGTGCCCCACCCTACAGCCATTTACGCCCCGCCCATTGTGCTCACGCTGCCCGAGTACGGTATAGCAGTATGGCACGTACCGTACCGTAACCATTGTACTGTACCTCCCCTCTCCTCTGCTCTGGCAAAAGCCGTGGAGCCAAAGTGAACAAGCACAGTAAATTCATGTCCAAGTTAACCCGACCTCACCCCAACTCCAGCACATGTCCAACAAGCCATCAAAGGAAGGCAGAGAGTTCAGAAGGGAACGGAAGCCGGTGCACGGGCCATTAGGAAAAGCTTAAATCCTTAACTAATGCCCATATTGGGTACCAGTGCTGTGTTCTTGGCAACTCCCATTCCCAGTAATTATGCATCGCCCCGCAAATCCCCTACCAAAAACGTTTCCGTCCGGGTTAAGAATAGTTTTTGGCTCGGTCGGTAGCCTACCAGCACCGGTACCGCTACCGTAGACCAAACCGAAACCTTGCACTCTGCGCCCCGGAACAAGTCGAGAGACTCCGCCTGAGCTCCCATCTGCACCTGTGGGATTCAGGTCCTCTGACGGGGATGTAAAGGAAGGCATAATACGGTAGAGCAAAGTGATCTCTCTCTATCCCTGGGATAAGGTCTATGGTTAATCATGGTACAATTATGCTTTAACGGCACCCGCGACAGACCACGAACCGGTATCGTGAGAATTTTGTCGTCAACCGTATCGTACTCGCATAAGCCCACCAGCCCTCACAGGAGAGCTCTCTTGTTACTAGCATCCCACTCCCCCCCTCTCCCGCCCTTGCTATCCAAGCGCCCTTTCCCCCATTCGTATGGCACCCTCAACTATTGCCGAGCAACCGTTCGCTGCGGAATCCACATCCTCCGAAACCCCACAAAACACAGCCACCCACTTACGCGTTTTGTCCCTTGGCCAGCTCAATCGAGTGAACACGTAAACCTCCAGCTTGTCCAGGATCTTTTATTCCTAATATCTGCGCTTCTACCCCTCTCCGGCAAGGCTCCCCAGGCCGATCGAGTAGCTTGATGGGTCTTGACTTCAAGAGATTCCTCCGCTACAGGCCCTCTCCAGCCAACATGTCTACATATATATCCAGTCAGCACCCTCCCCTGAATCACGGTTTCATACACCCGATAAAGGCTCTCTTGGCATTGCCAGTATAAAATAGGGTAAGGCCTTCTGCTTGAGGGTTGGTTCGGTACGCACCCGCAATGTCAAGATAGAACGCGATGGCATTAAACCTGCTACACTTAGGAATGTTGCTAGAATTAGCTGGGGCGGTTATACTTACTGATTCCTCTTTCCCACTGCTTCGAGTATTATCCACTTTAGTCTGTTCGTCCAGTTAATCAGGTCAAGATGACTTGGACCCACCAGGGTGCCTTTGTAAACGCCCCACTGAGCAGACGATACAGACACGAGCCCTGTTAAATGATCAGAGAGGAACCTGAAACCAACATGGGGGAGAGGGATATCTCCCAACCGTCGTTTGGCCCTTCGTTCTCCAATATGATTCGATGGGGTGCTCGGAACATTGATAAAAGTGAAGGCTGAGTCATGGCACCATATGAGAAGTATCTACGTAGTCACTCAGCCCATATCCTGAGGGCACGGAGGTCCCAAATTTGCAAAGACTCTGGTAATATCAATCACCATACCTGACGGATTCATCGTTAAGCACCTTCTTGTTAAACTCACTCACCATGTATTCCGTGGTTAACTGAGAGAAGGCCCCAGCTTGCATTCCTATGGTTTCCAGGGCTTTGTATACTCTGGGGGTTCTCTTCTCTTCTCGAGGATTAGTTCTGGCACATATAGAAACAGCTTGACTTACTCCCTATGGATTCGAGGCAATAATCCGCGAAGGCTGAGCCTCTGTGAGGTGTCGCAACAGTAGTCAAGGACACCACCTGGTAAGGATAAGGAGTTAACCCACCGAATATTCATACATAAAAGCTCACTAACCTTGAAATCTAAAGGCCTAAGCTTGCTTATCATATATCTTGCATCTATTCCCCTGATAAACAGTAAGCATCACTAATAACATCTCACCCTTCGATGGTCGGAATATCTACCCCTATCCAGCTATTTCAGAATCTTGCCGCGCATTCGACCAATTGCCATGGAAAGGAAACAAAAGATATTCAAAAACCTACCATGCTATGGCTAACTCACGACTTCTATCAGCTTGCTTCTCCCCGGAGGACAGGAGGCTTTACCCTATCATGTTAACATCCCTACCCTTCGCTTTCAACCGAATACATTCCGCAAGTGCTTGAGCTCTGACTTCTATGGATCCGGATGCCGGCACTTGAGAAACCACAATCATCAGCAAGCACCCAGACAATCTGGGTCGGAGGTACCAGACCACTGGTCAGAATGACTCCGATATCATTAGCACGGAAAGCCTCAGTTATTCCCCTCCAGTAGTGTATCCCAGGGAGATAATTCCCTGCGAGCCTTAGCTCGTCGAAGCCTAGAAGCCCGTGGCACTAGCAAGAATCAGCACCTCATCACCCCATAATCTCGTGCGGAACCCTCGGCGCAGACCAGAACAATTGGATTTTGAGGGGTCCCTGCGTATGATGGCTCTGTTAGCTCTGCGACAGCAAACAGGGTGGGTGTAATGGAGCTTACGGTATTTTTCCCGGATAACCGCAAACTCATCCGACAAAGTCCTGCCCAGCTGTCGTTCTCGAGGATCCTCAAATGCAAATCTTCCAGGTCCTCCCCCAGCCTTGTCGACGCGCAACACAGACCCCTGGGTTTCGCGGCTTCTCCGAACAGTGGAAAATTCACCCAGTAGCGATCTCCCCAGCCCATGCACCCGCGGGTCATTCGATACGGTCCCCGCGGCTGCCCACTTCACCTGTCCGCGCCCTCCGGGAGCAGCCCCGCAACGAGACCCGAGTCGCTGCGGTTTGGCGATCCGCTGCGGGATCTTTGTTTGCAGAAACCAATTCATATCGGTAACGATCCCCATGTCGTGCCGTCAAGCCATATATGCCTTTTGGCGGAGTTTTTATTATTCTGATAATGGGGATGATTGAATCCGGAGTGCGGCTCGGCTGCCCAGCGGGATAATATTTGGGTACGGTAAATTTAAATTCTACAGGAAGACGTTAAGGTCTGAGATCCCGAGGTGGCGTCACCCTGCCGTAGCACCAGAGAGGGACCCACACTTGGACCTGGGCAGCACGGCAATCCTTGGCAAGAGTGAGGGGGGAACTGCTGCTATGCCGGGATCATGGATACGGTAACAGGTGCGTGAGCGGAGGAGGGTCAGATGCCTTCCGGTACTCGAGTACAAACGTCGGGACATTATGAGTATGAGTACTCAAGTATTTGTCACTTTGATCAGTCCCACCTTCTATGACCATGAAACCTAACAAAACTGGAGGCTCAATGAACAAGGGGGCTTAGCAAACAAGAGACCAAGTGGGTCTTGGCAAAGGGCCGTTTTGTTTTGTTTGTTCATGTGCCCCTCTTCCTTAACCCACTTTATGGATTATAAAGCAGCCCTCATTGCCCTCATTGCCCTTACTCCTCTCCCTCACTTTTCTCCCTCACTCCTCTTCCTACTTCTCAAATATTTTCTCCAAATCTACCAGGGTTATTTCAAGTCAGTTTCTTCGCACTTCAGTTATTATCTTGTACTTAACTTCTTGTTTGTCTATCTTATAGTGTCCTTCTCAGATTCCAACTCCCTGCCCAACAGCATTGTCAAAGTTAAGGATAAGGCTATTGTCTTCTCACCTGCCACAGATATGTCTGGCTCACTATCTGCCAGTCGTCGTACTAGAAGGATTAACTCCCTGATACAGGCAATTCTATCCTTGTCTCATATTTCTGATATGGAGGTCACTTTTCATTATGCAGGCCTACCCTCCCACCTGTGTAATGACTCTACATTATAGTGCTATAGCAACCTATGTCTACACCCATACCTAAGAATATGAGGTCAGATGGTAGACTAGGCAAGTATGCTGGCGCATGTCTGAGAGATATCTGATGGTCCGGGTATCTCAAAGAACAGAAGGTACTTAAAGGATAGGTGTACCTAAGTAGTGGAAGTAACGTGACTATGTCCACTCTGGCCTACGGATAGGTTGGAAGGCCAGGTGAGTTTATCCTGTCTAGGAGAGTCACGTTACCCTACCATGGGGACCAGTTTCATGTCACTATGGACATACTTACCCTATCTTTGGGACACTATTACCCTATCTTCCATTGGAAATGTTGGTGGAGAAATTCTGAGAAATTTTAGGATTGTTTGTTATGCAATGACGATTAATAGGTACTTGCTTGCATACTGATTGGAAGACTATGGGAGGAGCTATAGTGCTCCAAACATGCTGTAACTTGGCAGTATTATTCCAAAGAGGTACCTGCAGTCCCAAGGTTTGCCTCAGGTATCATAGGCCAAAATGGGTGGAGTTGCCATCTTCCTAGTTAAATGGAGTCTATGAAGACATGTCCATAATACTGTATACGTCGCTGCCGTCCATCCGACTGGAAGCTGTTTGCAGGATATATAAGGGGGCCAAGGTGAGAAGGTCAGGTACCTTCTCCAAAAAGAACAGAGTAAAATGGACCAAAACTGACAGAGTTAGCATGAGCTATCCGAAAGAGTCCCCAGAGTAGTTCTGTGTAGTGCCAGAGACATCTTGGAAGGTTTTACGCCAATCATGCCTACACATGCCCCTTTGCTGTAGGCTCTTTGTAGGTTGTTTGAGGACTCTAATAGCATGATACTTATTACAGTGAGTAGTGTGCTGGGGGTAAGGGACTATAGGTAGCACCCATGGGTCCCGCTACCACTGCAGCTCTCTATGGAAACATCATAGACCTTCTCAGTTTGCAGTTAAGATAGATAGAACTTAACCAAAAGACAGCTAATATCTGTAGGGGCTTGTATAGGTCATAGCGCATAGGAAGAGAGTCATTTAGTTAGCTTTCCTAAGTGTCTCGATAGTTAGCCACTGGAGAGACTCTGATGCACAGAAGTTTTCACTACGCCAGATATATTGGTAAACACCCTGCATGAACAGATATGCATATAAGAGATTCCTGCTAGAGTGCACTGACACCTTAGGCTTAAGCCCTTCAGGGATACGGTAATAGTGTTGGGCAACCCTTACGGAGAAGGGCATACTCGTGTTGGTCAGGGTAACCTGATAGGGGAGTTCTTAGTATAAGTCTAACTACTTAAAGATTATACGAGAACTCTCCTACCTTAACACAATCAACATCCTCTCAAGAGACTTTAATTGAGATAAGCCTGAGCTTAACGATATTAAGTTTTACTGTTTTACTTTTATTCTTTACACTTTGCAAGAGCTGTGTTCGAGAGATTCGAAGTTTGGTACAGTTGCATCCTTGGGAACTATCTACCTGAGGGAGTCCTCCTTACAGACCAGTCCTTATTGCTTGGACTGAATTTACTGTATGGGAGGTACCCAGTAGCCCAGAGACATACATCAGGCTCAAGGAGCTTCGTATTGTCAGCAATCATGTGATCAATAAGGTCTGGGAGGATGACTTAGCTCTGAAGGTGCATGCCATCCTGTATGTAAAGCAGGTGAACTGGTCTAGCATGGATGTGGTCAGAATAGGCTATGTTGATGAGCTCTTTACAGATGTCATTCTTTGGACTGGAGTATTACCAAATTCTCTCATGTATGAGGCTGGTATCAAGGTAGCCCACATGTACAAGAGGCTTCTACTTGAGTACTATATCAAGGATGTTGATATGGAAATCCACAAGTCAGAAGTAATGCCCTCTTAGGGTCTCCTACTCCTCCAATCCACCATCAATTCTAACTCTACCACAGATGTTCAGGAGCCTCTTACCATGTCGCTTGGGCTAACTATCTGTTCTCAGTCTACATCAGAGGCTGAGGGAACTGGTAGCTTCTTTCTCTGTGATGGCAGTGAGAGCAAGAGACTTCTCTTAGTCACCGCACGCCATGTTGTCTTCCACTTTAATCAAGTCAACAATGACCTCTTTCTGCATAGGTTTGATAGTAAGCCCACTCATAATATCCTGCTCCTTAGCGATATAGCATTCCAAAAGCTTCTCCTTTCTATTAAAACCAAAATTGAGGTACAGGAGCTTATAGTCAACTTTTACTAAGTCCATATTAAGAAGGCTACCAGAGGAGGTAATGTTCAGGATGAGTGGGAACATGAGAATGCAGAGTCTCAATTGAATGAGGTACTGGCAGGTATGGAGGCTCTCACTACCTTCTACTAGTGTAATCGGAACTGGAGTTTAGTCCGTTAGGTTCAGAGTATTAGGGGGTAGGTAACTCTGAAGTCTAGCGAGTATACACAAGGCCCTGTAATCTTCTGTCTCGGAGATAGTCAAGAAGGCTCGTAAAGATAGAAGTAAAGTAGAATGAACATATTGATAAGATCTCTTCTCCAGTCGCTGATGATAGACTTCAAGCTAGGGATTTTTGGTTTTTTTGTTTGACTCATTTTATTATTTGTTTATGGGACAAAAAGGCATATGGAGCGCTAGCTATGACGCCTAAAAAACCGCCCCCCCCCAGACCAGGCCGGGCGACGGGGCTAGGAAAGCCCTCTGGGGTAGGGAGAACTACTCCCGCCCGGAATCCTTCCTGTAGACCACGAACCAATAACCCCCACCGTCAAGCGCCAAAAGAAAGCTAGCTACCCGACAGTGAACTAAGAACATGCCTAACCCCAAGACCGAAACACCTAAAGGCAGAAACCCAAACCGAACCCACTAGAGGCCAATGGCCACAACTCAAATCCATCATAGGAACCCTTAGGCCATATGACGAGGGTCAGGAGGAGGGAGCCGAAGCCCCGGGCGCAGAGGGTATAAGTGAAACCACCCCGAAGGCGGCGACCGAGAAGCGAGGAGAGGAAGTGTGTGGCAGGCGTGCCAGCGACCGTGTATCCTCCGGGACATTCGACGATTGAGGCAGTAAGGTGCCAGCTTGAGAGGAGGTAGTAGTAGAGTACCAGCCGATCCAACCGTGGAGAGGAGCCCTAAGTGAAGCAGGTGTTTTACTGCATCTCTCATGTAGTCCCTTGTTCTGGGAGAGATAGCATCACTGTAGTGGAGGGGATCCCACCAGCTGTCAGCCAAAAAGGCCCCAAAGAGTAGAAGAGGGGTAGACCCAATTCTGTGAACGACAACTATTGGTAACCGCGTTCGTGTCCGACTAGGCAGCCTCTTACCGGGGCAAGAGAAGGGAGAGATCGACCGTAGCCTGTAAGCTGTTCTCTCCTACTGCAACTGTAGTCCTGGCCGTCTGTGGAAGGTGGAAAAGGGGGTTGCCGACCGTGCCAATGCCTAAGCGAGGCGGGGTAGGAAGAGGGGAAACATCACGAAGATGAGAGGCCTCAACCAGGAATAGAACTGAGTGAATCAAGAAATAAATCAGGACCCCAAGGGAGAGGGGAAGCGAGCCCACCTCCTGTAGCCGAGGCTAGATGGGGGGAGATGGGGGGGGATAGTGGTGCTAGATGATGAAAGCCACGATAGAAACCGTGGCGTTGAGTTTTCAAGCGCCGGAGGTGTAGTGGAGACGGAGGATGGACTTAAAGCTAGGGATTTTTTTTTCTTTTTTTTTGTTTAACTCATATATTCTTTGTTAAGGTACAAGAACCTGCATAAAGCGCTAGCTATGGCAAAAACAAAACCTTAATGTCAAAAGCAACAAACAATAACGAAATATCTCTCTGCCAGCAATCCCCGCCTGTGAGTAATGCAACCCACTGCGCCCGCCAGGGCGACTAATCACAAAAGGAAAGACAAGCCTCCTCCCGCACAGAGAAAACGTAAAGCACGGAAAGTCAAATTAAAACCAGGAAAGATAACAGAAAGAACTACTTCTTCAATCTGAAACAGGGTTGGTGCTGGACGAAGCCCGTCCCCCGCCCATGGGGGGGGGAAAGTTGGTTCTGGTATCGGAGATGTATCGCGCCAGGCCCCACAAGAGGTCCTTATCAGTCCACAGGGAAGCCTCGCCGCCCAAAGAATCAACTCCCGGGATATGGAGCAGTCTCGAGGCGGCCTTAGAGGGACAGGAGA